TCTCACAGTTTGTATGGCAACTTCCAACTTACCTGTATGTATATATATATATATATATATCTTACTATATGTTTCATTCTATGCATCCGATGAAATGAGCTGTAGTCCACGAAAGCTTTTGCTCTAATAAATTTGATAGTCTCTAAGGTGCCACAAGTACTTCTGTTCTTTTATCAAAATGACACCTATTTATAATAGTTCTGTGAGACAAAGTATAGTGAAAAGGTGGCAGGATTGACTTGTAGTTAAAGTAGAGGATGGGAATCAGTAGGTCTGGTGTCTATTCCCTATTCTACCACAGGATTTAGCCCTGATCCTGCAAAAACTTATGTCCATTGATTTTAGCATGCAGAAATCTTTACAGAGCCTAATTTCAGTGTCTTGGTTTTTGGGTGCTAAAATAGGACCTATGATCTGATGTTCGAAGATGGTGAATATCCATATTCCTATTGAAGTAAGCAAGAGTTGTGGTTGCTCAGCCCCTCTGAATATCATGTCCTAGGTATCTAATTTTGGGCTGCGAAAATTGAGGTCCCTTTTTAAAACATGATCCTCATCCTGAAAACCCTTAGGTTGATCTGTAATTTATTCATCTGAATAGTCACACTGAAGTTACTAAAAAAGAAAAGGAGTACTTGTGGCACCTTAGAGACTAACCAATTTATTTGAGCATGAGCTTTGAGCTGTAGCTCACGAAAGTTTATGCTCAAATAAATTGGTTAGTCTCTAAGGTGCCACAAGTACTCCTTTTCTTTTTGCGAATACAGACTAACACGGCTGTTCCTCTGAAAACTGAAGTTACTGGGACTATTCACATGCTTGAAGGTTAGATCCTGCAAATGGCTTTGCATGAGCAGACGCAGACACCTGCACCTGTGCTGAACCACAACAACTTCAGTGGGGCTCCCTGTGGGCTGAGAGGTTTGTCCCAGTGTGACCAAGGGCAGGATTGTGTGGCCTTGGACAATTCACTTTGGCCCTGATACTGCAAAGACTTATGCAGCCACTGTAGGATTAAGACCTAAGAGAGGAGAAGAATTCATTGCAACTAATAAACCAAAGAAAATTTCAAGAATAACAATACATGGTTTTTAAACAGAACAAAAAAGAAATCAAACTAATATTACACATTTTTTTTAAAGAAAAAAAATGAAAAATCAGAGACCTGTTTTGGTTACTTTGTAAAATGCAATTGATATTTCTGCCATACGGGTTACACTTTTGCTCCATCTTTGAAACCTGTCGGCATAATGAACCCAATCCTACAAATTGCTCTGTGTGGGTGGGCCATGTGCAGCACAGTGCCTAAAACTGCCCTGGCAGCTTAGGAGTTTCTGCTTTTAGCATCAATGAAAGGCTATTACTTAGAGTTCATCTCCGTCTGTGACCAGAGAAAAACACACAAGCCCCTTACAGCTGATCCTGAGCTCACGCATCTCCTGAAGGGCCCAATCCTGCATGTTGGGAACTTGGCCACTGACCGGCAGGGAGCAGCTGTACTGGGCTGGAAGGCAGGGATCAAAAATAAGGATGTTTAACATAAAGTCCTTAGGGAAATGGTACAAAGGGACCAGGTGCCTGCTGGTGAGAGTTTGGTCTTCCACTCCAGTGGGAGGAGAAAAGGCCCATTGCAGAACTCCCCTGCTTTGCCCTACAAGCCCCTGTTACTTGGGCTCAGCACAAGTCCCAGTCATAGAATCATAGGACTGGAAGAGACCTTGAGAGATCATCTAGTCCAGTCCCTTGCACTCATGGAAGGGCTAAGTATTATCTAGACCAGGGGCTCTCAACCTTTTTCTTTCTGAGCCCGCCCCCCCATGCTATAAAAACTCTGCGGCCCACCTGTGCCACAATAACTGATTTTCTGCATATAAAAGCCAGGGCCTGTATTAGGGGGTAGCAAGCAGGGCAGTTGCCTGGGGCCTCATGCCACCGAAGCTACATTGCTCAAGCTTTGGCTTCAGCACCAAGTGGTGGGGCTTCAGCTTTTTATCCTGGGCCGCTGTGAGTCTAATGCTGGCCCTGCTTGGCAGCCCCCCTGAAACCTGTTTGTGGCCCCCCAAGGGTCCCTGGACCCCTGGTTGAGAACCACTGATTTAGACCATCCCTGACAGGTGTTTGTCTAATGTGCTCTTTAAAATCTCCAATGATGAAGACTCCATAACCTCCCTCTGCAATTTATTCCAGTGCTTAACTACCCTGACAATTAGGAAGTTTTTCCTGATGTCCAACCTAAACCTCCTTTGCTGAAATTTAAGCCCATTGCCTCTTTATTCCTGGGGGAATTCTGCACCACTGCACAATGCAGAATTTTGCAGCAATTAATGTTGGGTGTGCAGAATTTTCTCCTCCCCCTGTGAAATGGGTGCAGAAATGTTGGCACAACTAGGGGCTTCTGGACCCAGCAGAGCCCAGCTTGCAAATAGAAGACAAAGCCGGGGGGGAAGGGAAGGAACTGGAGGGATCCCAGTGTTGAAAAGGGGCACCACTACCCCTGAAATGGATCTTTACTGGCTCCCGGTGGATTACTGTCATACCAGTGAAAAAGGTCCATGGTAATTATCTTCAATACACAGCAGTTTATTGAGAAGGAATTACATAAGTGGTAAAGGGTTACAATAAGCACATAACTCCTATGTTAGACATTAAGAACTATACATTAAGAGCTATACATTCCTCTTAGCGAGCCTCTCTTTCACAAACATACACAGTTCCTGCTTGACAAACAGAGAAGGTGGTTACCAATCTATGGATGGCTGCTTCTCTCCAGGTCTGTTCTCCTCAGCCCTCTGGTCTGTCTTGGATTCCCTTGAGGCAAGGCCTTGGTTGCCTTGAGACCCCTCTGGTTCACAGTCCTACTCGAGCCCACGGAGCACAGTTTTGGCTACTCTGTCAAGCAGCGTTGCTTCTTCAAATGTTAGTTAAGGAATCCCAATCACAGTAATTTGCTTTGCTTGATTCTTATACTCTTTTTCCTTAAAGGAGTCACGTCTTAAAAGCATGCCTAGTGGGCGTGTGCTTACTAATTTTACCTAATTAGTGTTTTAGAAGGGGCTGGGGGTGGTGGTACTGAATGAAGATCACCCCACATTTACTCACTTATCAATCATTCGTGCTGGCTCTCTGCATGATATCCTTGCTGTGAGGTTGCTAAAACCAGGTCGAGCTGTGCTTAATGCTGGAACTTTACATTTACTTTTGCATGGACCCATATTTGCCGACCAATAGGTTCAATATTGATCGTACATACAGACTTTTTCAGTCCTTTATCAAATTTCCTTCTGCTTAAAGGGAACCTTCTCCCAGGATCCTCTGCAGTCATTCAGCCATGTTTAAGTCATGTAAAGTTATACTCACACCATTCATTCAGTATGGCACACCAATCTGGCACCATCTCAATACCTGCAGTTCTTAGCACGCCCTGAAGGAAGGAGGTGGTGGCACACAGGAAATGCCATGGAACCCCGGGACCCAGCATCAGGCTGTTTCTCCCTCTAGATCACTGGGCTGTAGGAGGGTAGGGTCTGTGACTGTGTGGGCCGGAGTGGGGGCGGTGCAGGGGTAGGGGGTGTGAGTGTGTGGGCTGGGCGGCGGGTGCAGGTGTAGGGCGTGTGAGTGTCTGGGCTGGGGGGAGGCGTGCAGGGGTATGGGGTGTGAGTGTCTGGGCCGGGGGGTATGAGTGTCTGGGCCAGGAGGGCCCCACGGCTAAGCTCTGGAAAGGGCGGATTAGCCTTTCGTGGGCCCCCCATAGGGGCAATGGAGCATGGTGTGTGTGTGGGGGGGTCGATCTCCGGAGCGAGGGGCCAGCCAGGGGCAATGGAGCATGGCATGACAGGGGCAGCCCTGCTCCGCCCAGCCCAGTGCAAGGGCACGATTTACAAACCGGCAGTTACCAGATGCACAATGGCCCACCTGACCCTGTGTAGCCAGCAGGCCTCTTGCCCTTGGGGGTGGGCCCATGCTGTGCCACACAGCCCCCCTGCCCAACACCAGAATACCCTCTCCCCGATTCCTTATGGCCAGAGCCCCCCCCCCCCGACCCAAGGGCTGGCGGGGGTCTCAAGACACAGTGCAAGCAGAGCAGGCTGGGGCCCCTTTGACCATGGGCCTGGCTCCATGGAACCACTGGTGCCATTGTAAACCCGGCACTGGCTCTGGGGGGGTAGGATGTGTGAGTGTTTGGGCCAGGGATAGGGTTGCCAGGTGTCTGGTATTGTTACAGCCATACTTGATTACAGGTATTTCGTAATAAATTATCAAAATAATTGAAACTAGTGATTATATAGTGTGATGTTGACAAATAATATTTGCAGAATTTTAAAATATTGTGCACAGCATTTTAAATTTTTTGGCACAGAATTCCCTCCAGCAGAACCTCTTGTCCTATCCTTAGAGGTTAAGGAGAATAATTGTTCCCCCTCCTCTTTGTAACAACCTTGTATGCCAGCCTGGGTAGGCGAAGCCTGCAGCTGCTGAGCCAGTGAAGTGCCGGAGTCTGGGGGCATCATCCCGCCCGCTCTGCAGCCAAACTCCCATGAGCCACATGGGGCCATGGGTGGGTGCAACGCTGGCCAAGTCCCACGCTGTAGCAAGAGAGGCGAGGCTGGCGCTCAGGGGCAAACGGAGACGCTCCGCTGCAGCGCGGGCAGCGGCCAGGCACAGACCCCTCTTCGCCAGGGCGCCAGCCCGACCCTGCCAAGGGCGGCTGGGCCCCGAGTGCGGGCCGGGCGGCGGGAAGAGGCTGCAGCGCCCGCTGGTTCCCGGCCGGCGGCACAGGAGTCGGCGGGGCGGCGCCCGGGATCCCGCCCCTCTGAGAGGCCGGAGTGAGGGAAAGAGCCGCGGCGGCGGCGGCGGCAGCAGGAGGTGGCGGGGGGCGGCGGCGGCAGCAGGTGAGGCGGAGTCACTGGAGACACGGGCTCCGCCCCGGAGGCGGCCCGGCCCCGAGGGGGCTGCGTAGCGCTGCCCTGCCGGAGCAGCAGCCTCCGCAACTGGGCGCGGGGCTGCCGGTGGCCGCAGCGCCTCAGGTGGCAGCCCAGGTGGGCGGGAGGGGGCCGGCCGGCTGGCGGGCAGCTGCCTTGCCACTGCGCCGAGCCGGCTCTGGCACGGGAGCGGCCCGCGGCCGAGCGCTGGCTCCCCGCGTGTCTCTCTGGCGTCTCACGGCAGCTCTCGCGGGGGAGGAAGAAGGCGCGCCCGGGGCGCCGAGGGGCTGAACTTTGGAGCCTCTGCTCCTGATGGGGCCGGTGCCGAGGAGGCGGAGGAGGAGGCGCTGTTGCCGCCGCTGCCCTGTGTGAGGCGAGCTCGCTCCCGCTGGGGCGGCCCGGTGGAGAAACTCCGCTCAGGTCCGCACCCCCTGCTGCTGCCGCCGCCGCCGCCGCCCGGGAGGCGCGGCGCGGGACCGACTCTGCTAGGGGAAGCCCCGAGCGCTGCCCGGCCATGGAGCAGGGCGAAGGAGGCGCGCTGGAGCCTGGGGCCGGCATTCCCAGGTACACATGCCCGGGCTGGGGCGGGGGCCCGCTGCTGGGGGGGCTTCGTTCCCTCGTTCAGCGCTCACGTCCTAGCGCTGTACTTGGCTCCCCTGTGTGTTTGTGTAGGTGCCGGGAGTGGTGCAGGCAGGGAGAGGGGGAGCGGGGCTGTTCGTGGGGGGAGACTCCTCCATAGTCTGGGTTGAAGCTGAGGGTGCTGGCAAAGGCTGGCTCTGTGCTGAAGGGCGGGTTTGGTGGGTGTTTTTCAAAGGAATGGCACTTTCGCTGTAATTTTACTTATTGATCAAAATTGTCCTCATTCCCATTGTCGCAGCTAAACAGCACCATTGAGATTTTCCTTAATTATTAGTAATAGCATTTCACTGTGCTGAGTAAGCCCGTGTTTTTGAGGTTTTCTCACTTAGGGAGGGCTATATTGTGAGCTTCACTGGATTAAATGGCAGGCTTCAGAGTAGCAGCCCTGTTAGTCTGTATTCACAAAAAGAAAAGGAGCACTTGTGGAGTACTCCTTTTCTTTTTACTGGATTAAATGTCTCTAAAGTCTCCTCCCCCCCAAACAAACAAAACTGAGATTAGGAGTACTTGTGGCACCCATGAAATGAGCTGTTGCTCACGAAAGCTTATGCTCAAATAAATTTGTTAGTCTCTCTAAGGTGCCACAAGTCCTCCTTTTCTTAGAGACTCAGTACTCTTTTTTTTTTTTTGCGCATACAGACTAACACGGCTGCTACTCTGAAAACTGAGATTAACATTCAAAAGCCTCTTACACAGGGGCATATGTTCTGTTAAGATTGTGTCTTGGTAGATAACTTTTAATGCCCACAAAAATTGAAAGGAGGTGCAGTAATTTAAAATATTTTTTAATCATTTACTTGTTTATTTTTTATATTTAAACTATTTCCTCAATTGGAAGAAGGAAAAAAAGCAGGATCTATGAAACCCAACTTTCAGTCCTTGGAAAGAGATACTTTTTCTGGGTAGTGGGCCTTCAGAGTGGTATCTTTTCTACCAGTTTCTTACATGGAACAATGAAGGGTTTGGGGCAAAGCAAAGTCTATGAAAGAAAGACTTTGGAAGAGATGAATAAAGAGTAATTAAATATCTGTTTTACAAGACATTCTCCATAAATAGAAGTGAAACAGTTTTGTATAATTGTATTAATACAATTAATTAATTAATACAATACAATTAATTAAATATAGAAATGTGAAAATTAACTACTGTAAAACAAAGCTTGGAAGAGTGTCGTGCTGTGGGGATTTAGAGAGGATGAATACATTCCGAAGGGAAGTTTGTCAGTGTCATTCTCTCCATTTCCCAAAAAACCATTAGTGATGCACTGGAACAAAGAATCTCTTAAAAATAAGAGATTAATGGCTTTGACATACATACAAGCTTCTGTTAAAAACAGACAAGAAAATTTTGTAAAATCAGGAGACCACCCAAGACTTCAGATAAGGCACAGTGCCTGTAGATATGGGATTATCTAACTGTTGAGAATATCTTCATAATTTTTGAAACCTGTCTCCTTCCTGCTTCCCAACAATCAGACTGAATTATGAAATGAATCTGTGTTCCCTACCTTCATTATCAGAATCCTAAACGTGATGTGTGGGTTGAAGTGTCATGCTTTCTTGAATTGTCTGAATGCTCTGTGTATGAGTGTGAAAGGTTTCTTTAATCATAAAAGTAATGAAGAATTAAAAAAAAAACTTTCCCAGGGAAGATCATGACTGAATGATTAGTGACTCTAAAAACTGTATTATAGGGTTTAATGTTTGTATTTGTCTCTCTGATTCCACATCAAATTTGTTCAGCATACAAATGAAAGATTACTTCTAGCCCTGTAAACTCAGTGGGTCTGAACATGCAGTAGTGCTTCTTCTGACTCATGCATCACCACCAATAAAAGATTCAATGGGTCAAATTCTCCCCATGGTTACACCTGTGCAATTCCATTTGTCATTATTGGAGGTTGGACTTGTGAAACTGAGAGTTGAATTTGCCCTCACAGTTGGAATTTAGGCCTTGATATCTTACAAGCTGCTCTGCATGAGTGGATCCCTGTGCCCAGGCAAAGACCCATTGGCTTCACTGGGGTAGGTGTAATGGTCCTTCCGTGCAAAGTATTTTGCACAGGTGGGATCTTTCACCACTTCAGTTGATGTATGAGCCAGAATAATATCCAATTCACTCTTCAATAGCCAATGTTGGTTCTTCATTACTAATGGGAATAAAAAATTGTAAAAACAACCCCCCCGATTATTGTAAATAAGTACACCTGATGCCACACACATACATGGAGTAGATCTGGTGAAGGGCAAAATGGAGGCCATTACTATGTAATCAATTTTCAAACAGTGTTTTTCTTTAAATAGGTTATTGCCAAAAAGTTACAAAAAAATAGCACATTTTTAAGGTAATCTTTGTAATTGAATGAGTTATTACAATCTGTATTTACTAGCACAGCACTAGTGGAAAAACTAATTTTTTTTAATCTTTGAATCATAGACTCTTACCTTTGCAATCTATATTCCTTGCATTTGTTGTTGCCTATTTTTTCTGTATTATGAAAACCTCATTCCAGTTAGTCACAGTTTAAGCGAATTGTCTACAAAATAGATCTTTGGCTCTAAATCTCCCAATTGCCAAAAGCAAGGAAGTCTGGCATTGACCATAAATTTACATACGTTCCAGTTCATTGTTTTGAATTTTCCATAACTGTTTTTCAATTTAGTTTACTAAAGCATACTTACATATTTTTTAAGTCTGTGTGTGGAGAAATTTTGTATACAATAACTTTTTATATTGTAGGGTTGATCCATATGGATTTGAAAGGCCAGAAGACTTTGATTATGTGTCATATGAAGAATTCTTTTCTAGATATCTGGTGATACTCACTAGAAGAGCAATAAAATGGTCAAAGCTTCTAAAGGGGAATAATGGGGTACAGAAAAGTTTAAAAGGTAAGTTATATGTTTGTATTTTATTGGACCTGAATGTAAATCAGTGTTGAGAATAGAACTTAAGTTTAAATTGGCTTGCACTTGAGAACACAATACTAAATGTCTTTTTTGCTCTAAGTAATAACAGACTGAATTCAGTAATAATACATAAACAAATTTGGTGCTGTTCTAGGGATAATCAGTTTGATTTAAAGTTCACAAGGGAGTAATCCTATTTGATGTGCATCATAATATCTTAGTCACTATGTCTGTAATCAAGAAGGATTATACCTGCGAGAGACTGGATTTTTTGTTACTATTGCTTATACTACTTTACATATTTGTGTGCTCAAATGACCTCATTAAAGGATAGGTGCATGGTGCAGCAGAAAGTGTAAAGAACTGAACATCAGGAGTTCTGAGTTCTTCTCCCAGGTTTGGCGAGACATTGACTCGTTCTCTGACATTTTGCAAGTTGCTTAATTTTCTGTGCCTCGTTTTTCCCCATCTGTGAAACGGGGGTTGTCTTATGGCTAAAAAGCACTAAGTATGTGCTAAGACTTAATAATCAAAATTTAAAAACAGAGAAAGTAAAATTAACAGAAGAGCTAGGTGCAAATATTTCAGAAGATGTTAACAGAACTCTTAATTGCCAGTTCAAGAAGCAGGAAAACCTCTCATGATAGCCCAGTATATGAAAGTCTAGGATGTGAAAGTGGAGGGGGGCAATGTAATTAAAGGGAGGTATTGTGGGCAAGGAATCATGCGAGGCTGCAAGTTCTCTTCCCTTTCCTTGTGGGAGCGAAATTTTTCTGTGTAAGCTTCTTATTTTTCCCTTTGCACTTAATGATGTATCCAATATGTCCTTCCTGGGGATCTTGTTTGGAATTCTCACAATGATGCCCAGCACAGACATTAAAGTGGCCTTAATATGGTTTAGTTTAATTCAACTAATCCACTTGAAAAGTTAATTTGGATTAATTTTCCTGAGTGTCCCTGGGTAGACAAGCCCTTGAATTGCACCTGAATCCTTAGAGGTGTGCTTCAGCACTAGGCTTCGCTTACTACTTTTGGGGAATTTTTGCAATGCAGCAAGAAAAGTGATAGCTCTTTCTACAGTGTTAGCTTTCCCTAAGGCAGTGCTACTCAAAGTGGTGGTCCGCAGACTGGTGCCAGTCCGCTAGCCATCGGCTGCTGGTCTGGGCGCACATTGGGGAAAAAAAATTGCCGGTCCCCCACATCAGATAGCTTGAGAAGCACTGCGGGCCTAAGGGGCATTACATCATACCTGTAAAATCTCTGCCACTCTTTCTGGAATTAGGGGTTCCATTAAATCTGATGTGTGGATGAAGGACATGAAGCATGATGGCAATAGAGAGGATCCTGGATGGCTGTTGCATCAAATTTTCAGTTACTAACTTTTTACTAAAGATAATCAGAATTGCTTACAGTACACTTTCTTACACACCTTTAGAAAGAATATGACCAATATAAAGGAATACAGCAGAGCTGAGGCAGTCTATTTGGAGTTACTGTAAACACACATTATTAACGACAAATCTTCCATGCTCCATTGTGCAGTGACACCCCAAAATTACTCAAGCTGGAAATGCTGGAGGAGGAAAGTGGCAGATTACTTTTATTCTGTAAAAGTGTTGATTTAAGCACTAGCCCCAGGATACTGCTACTAGGATCCACCATGTCTGTTGTCTATTCCCATATTGGACACAAACATATATGGATAGTCTCCAGTGTGTGAGGACATTATTATCCTGCAGGATCACTCATCCATTGGAACCGTGGCAAGTCAGTCTGTTAATCCTCTGAACCCTTCATCTCTCCCAACCCCACATTTTGGTTTCTTTGCTCTGATGCTTTAGGAGTCTGAATTGCTAATCCTAATAATGTCTATTCCAAACGCAAACTGATCGTAATACAAAACAGAGAGGAGTGTTTAACGTACAGTTCTTCTGTACAGTCCCTTTGAGAACCTCCACACCCTAATTTTCTACTTCCCCAGGGAAGATCTGAGACCCTTTCAGACTGTGTAGTGTAGTTTTACTGGACCTTTAATGTATGATATCTCAGCAGTTCCATGCCCATATATCCTCAGGCCCCAGAAAAGCTCCTAATTCCTATCATACTGACAAGAAGAAGGGATGTAATGCTAATTCCTTAATTTGGAAATACGGCATATTTATGTGCTGATTTGTTTCATGCAGATGCCTCGTGTCTGACATGGCATGTGTACATGCATAGTTCTGTTCTGCTTGAAAGAAAACTAATTAGGGTGCTTTAACAACTGTTATGCTGTATATCCTGTTTCCCTTGATCACAGAGTTCCAGAAAGATGGGTCATATGAATTTTTATCATCGTTCCATTTGCTCTTTCTTCATCCCATATTTGCTATCCCTCTCACCTTGTTCCTCACCTTGTCCTAGCTATTTCAGTTCTGCTGTCTTTCATTTCCTCTCTCCACCCTAGGTTCACTTCTTGCTCTTCTTTTCTTTCTCTCCTCCTCCTCCCCGCACCCCCACATTACCTGACAAGTCCCTGCCCCTCCCACCGTGCTCTAGGTTCTGCTGCAATCTCTTCAACTGCTGTGATTTGTGCTTTCTTTACAGTGTCGCAAGTCAGCTTGCTGCTTTGATTCATTTACAGCTGGTCAACAAGCACCAGAGGTGCAATACGAGAGCCTTACATGACCACTGAAAGTTACTTTAATTCCCACCTACAGTGTGCCTGTGTAAGAAATTCAAGTAACCTACTTGCTGCTGGAAACAACTTGTAGCAGAAAGTACTTAGTGTAAACCTTATCAGCCTTCTGATGCGAATGCACTAAGTGCTGTGGGTTGGAAAAGGGTCTGCAGTTTGTGGACATACAGAATATTGGTGAAACCAGATTCTATGATTTGCAGCTTGTCAGAAATGTCTTATCAAAGGCTGAATGAAGGCACAGGCGTCTCCTGTTTGTTTCCACTTTCTAGTTTGTTGTCCAAACTGGATATGGCATGTTCAGATATGAGGTATTTGGACACGGGTCAGTTTTTCTTCTAATAATTTTCAAAGTGAACTAGAGTAATTTTCAATATCCTATTAAAGAGAATACAGCTGTACAGTCCAAATTACTCTCTAAAAGGCTTTGGATCTTGTTTGTTGTTCCACTTAGTCATGCTATTGTACCCAGTACTCTTCAAGAACTAAATGAGGAAATGATATAAAATGGTAGTACCTTTTCAAGTTGTAATCCTATAATGTGTGTGTGTGACCTAAGTGCTTGTCTGTTGATTGTCAAAACAATTGCAGCTTCAATTCCTGTCTTTGATTGTTTGTTCTGTAAGTATTTTACTCTGCATGAAGAAATTCCTTCATTTTTCTTTATTTGTGCCATTTTTGGTTTTGTGCCTGTTAGTTTTGCTTTCACTGTCTCTCTATACCTAAATACACCTTTTAAACTTCTTCAGTCTTATTTGAAGGGTAATAGGCCAAATTAATCATAGCATTTAAAATTAGAGAAGGTACTGGAAAATGAAACAGGAACATGTTTGTTTAGAGTATAAAACATGGGGTGAGATGGGGGTTTGTGTGGTGAGAGGGGAATGAAGATGTTACAAAGAAAATATAAACTATTTCCGATCTCATGCTTGTCCATAACTTGAATGCCAACTGTACACAAAATCCACTTTTTCTTTTTGATGTGTTGAGAATAAAATAAGCAACTTTTAAAATTCCATATATTTGTCTCCTGGCTTCAGCTGTGCTCTTGGGTATATTTCTTTAGAGTATGTGTGTTTCCTCAACACTTAAATTTGTTTTTTATGTGCAGAAATATGCTGCAAATATGAAATACTTCATAATGGAACTTTGATAATATTTTTGGCTAAAATAAGTCTTTCTTTTTTGTTTTTAATTAATACATTCCCACATGACTTTGCCTAACCACACCATAGACAGACTTAATTTGTCATGCTATACCAAAAGCATGTCTGTTTATAGGCAAAGGAAATAGGAATTTTCTGAGTGAATGTGAAAATTCTACCATTAAGGGAATGTTGTCTACTTAAAAATCGCACTTCTGTCACAGTTCTCTTACCTCTTGTTGTTATAAGTAATGTCCAATACTGGAGAAATGCTGTATTTTTTTTTTATTTCACTTACTTTTGGCACTTGGCAGTACTTTAAATATATTCTCTTTCCCTCTCTGGATCTTTTATCCTGTAACAGAGAGAGAAATATATTCAAAAATGTGATTGTAAATCGACTAAACCTGGCATGGTGAGCCAGAGGTAAGTGCAGTACTGGGAACTACTTTACACTCATTTAAAAAAAAAATGGACTAGATTTCAGGTTGGCAGCATCCTTTCACTAGTGTTATACCGACAACATACCTTGATTAAAGGTTTTTTCCTTTATTATACAAGTGGGCAGGTGCAGTTTAAATTGAGGTTATATGTACTGCTGTTCATGCAAATGACACCATGTGTGTCACTAACCTTGATAGTCCATGGAGCTTTGTGTGGATGCAGGGGCCTGCTCATCTGGAATCTTCTGTGGAATCAGGACCTTCGGTTTAGTTTGCAGCCTGAGTCAGGTGAGGGAGGAAGAATCATGCAAGATGTAACCTCTTTCAAGGAGCATTACAAGTATTGTAATTGGAGAATATTCCACTCTATGAAATGTTCTTGTGGTTTTTGTTGTTGGGTTTTTTTTTGTTTGAGGAAAGAGTAAAATCCACTGTTAAGCATTTTAATGATGTGAGGGAGGCAGCACTGTAAAAAGGCTCTGATGTGTAGTTCTAACATTTGCATGAGAACTTGCCTTGTTTATAACGGAGTTTGGGGGTATGTGGTCAACAGTATATCCCATATATAAGGTGTGTGTGTGTGTATAATATTAGATAGATACATACTTGGGCTTTCTCATTGAAAGCCTAAGGACATCTGTTGTCGTGAGGACAATGACACTGAGGAGTAATGAGTGTATGTTAAGCTGCAGGGCTGCTGTCCCCTTGTACTGGATACCAAAGTCAAAGGCTTGTCCCTGTTTCCTGCATTTGATTTAGATTTATGTCTGATGCTGGCGAGGCTTTCAGAGTAAATAGTTGTACCAGGAGGAGACCAGTTACAAGGGGGAGTATATTTTTGGAATAATCCTTTTAAGAAAAAGGCATGATATTAGTTAGGATAAAACCAAATAATCCTCAACCTAACAAGTGAGTACACTTTTAGGGGCATGCATAGATTATTTCAAATAGACATACCTCTTGGTTTAGGCAGGGCTTATCACTTGAAATTAGGTAGTGCAGAACCTATCTACAGTATTTCTTGAGCTTCAAGATTCCCAGTGACTTTTAAATGATGTGGTTGGTATTTTAGGAGAGGGAATTGGTCTGGATTTATAAAAACAAAAACCTCTTCAGCTATCGTGAAAAAATCCATTGTTTCTCTCTCATTCCTCCTGGCTCTCCAACAGGGTCATTCAGTCAGTAGCCACTAGCCCTGATGACTAAAAATGCACTTGGGGGAGGGGGGGGTCTAGTGTTTCTATTACTGGGCTTTGCAGCAGCACTAGTGAACTGCCAAACCCTAATCCTAGAGTCATGCTAACGTCCTCAGTGATGCCGATGCATAATTGAGCAAACAGAAAACCACAATGTCAACCTCTGTTAGAAGTACAAGGAAAGAAGAAAAATCAATATTTTCCAAATGAAAAAAGAAGAAAAATCAATGGGAAAACCACTTTATTTTCAGATCTCCATTCAAGAGGACATCACAATGAAAAGGGAGGGGGAAACATTAAAACTCTAATATATGGGATAGTGTTCAGCTGATAGTAATTTACTCTCCCTGTAGTACGTATACGTTAAACCTGTGGAAAAGGACTGCTCTCTGAATGAATCTGTGGAGTTACTGGAAACCACCTGTTTAATTGTGTGTTTTGTGGGAGGGGAGATTGGGGTTTTGTGTGTGTGTTTGTGGCTGTATTTTGACACTGAGCATAGTACAGTATATTCTGGCCACTTAAATCTGCTGCATACTACATAAGTAAATCTAAATGTTTGTCTTCACTTTTGGCCTTTTACGTGGAGGAGGGAGGAAGCATTGTAATCAATGAATGCTTGTCAAGAGTTCTCCTAGAACCTCTCAACTTCCTGTTTTGTTTCCAGAAGAAAAATAAGGTTTTGTTTGTTGCATTGCAGTGAAGAGATATATCAGGAAAGGCGTTCCCAATGAGCATCGTGCACTGATATGGATGATTGTAAGTGGAGCCCAGGCCAAGATGGAACAAAACCCTGGATACTATAATAAACTACTTGAGGGAGAGAAAAGTGACATGCTGGTGGAAGCAATCAAGACAGGTTATGTCCTAATGTTTATACATATAGTCAATAACTATGTATTATAAAGTAAGAGTGACAGATTAAATTGTGTGTGGCAGTAAAGTTGTGTTTCTGTAAATGTTTAGTAGTAGTTTAATAATGATTAATGTGAAAACTAAAATAGTCTCAAACTCTGTACTAACACCACTCTCTTCAGACTTAACAATGCTCCTTCCAAACTTAAAATGAATGGGCCGGGTGGTGGTGGTAAGTAGATTGCGGTTACTTGATATTCAAACTGATCCAACTGTAATAATAACATTTTTCTAAAGAAGCTGACACAAAAATTGGCACAGTTCTGTGATTGTTTCATTGTGCACTGCCGTCCTCAGTGTCCGCAAAGCTCTAAAGTTGTTTCTTTAGGATGACAGATCCAGCAGGAATTTTTTTCTTTTTCGTGACTATTGAAAGTATCAGGTGCTTTAAGTTAGGGTTGTACCAAATTTTATCTTAGAAATGGATAATTAACTTAACTTTGTAACAACTTTGTCCTTGGCCAAATAACTTTTTTTCCAGCTTTCAATTTTAAAACTAAATAATAGCAGCTTGTCGGAGTTTGGTGTTACATACCTGAGTAAGGCATTTTGGAACATGCATATCCAGACTCCTGCAGGAAGAATGTCCAGACCAGAAATCATCAGGCTTCAGTATTCCCATGCTGAACCATGAGTTGCAGTTTAGGGGTGTGTAGAGGGAGCAACTAAGATGATTATCCAAGGTCAGCCTCACCAGTGGCCTCTAGAGAGCAAAGGCAATGACAGCAATCCCTCTGCAATGTTAGGCAGTAAAACCAGGGATCTTACCAGGACAGCAGGTGACTGTTTGGCTAAGTCAGTCTGTGAAACAAAGCAGTGTGTTGGGATGAGGGGGAAAGGGAACACAAGTGAGTTATAGGAAGAAATAAGGACTTGGGAGACGCACTGGAGGGAGGAAAAGACAGACAAGCAGAATTGGAGACCATGGGAATTAAAATGAATAAGTGAATAAGAGAATGATCAACTGAAAAAACAGGATTGAGCTCTGAAAAGAGGAAGAGAGATGGTGAGGGTGGAGTGTCCCAGAGCTTGGGCTCCAGCCTGAGGCTGACCATCTGTACAACAATATTTAGCGCCCAAGTCAATTGACCCAGTACTGTGACAGCCGTGCCATGGTTTCATCTCTGTGTAGATGTATAAGCAATAGAAGACAATAGCTGGGAGGCCATAGGAAAAAATTGTTAGAGGTGAAAGAATAACATGAGCATCTGTGAGAGGGTAGGAGAAAATAGAAAAAAATTAAGATATACGCCATTTTTAAATTTCATGAAACCTTGTGTTCTTGTCCACTATTTAGATATTTGGCATCAGCTGAAAGACAAGTTACACTGAAATGGCAGTTTAATTTTAATATTCAGCCATTCAGTGCGTTCCTGCTTTATATTAAATATTTCTAATGCTGTGATAGATTTAAAAAGTAAAGAAAAATATGTAATCTTGTTAATATTTGCTTCACAAATCTGTAATTCCCATGATTCTCAAAATCTTCTGGCAATCATGCTCCATAAAGTGCTGTAGTTTTAGCACTAAGATAATAGTTTTACCTAAGATACTACTATTAGCACCATCAAAGGGAGGAAAATTAATCTGAGAATCTCACTTTAATCATTACCACAACTTGACAACGGCAACAAAACTTAGGACCTAAAGGTTCAAAGACAAGAAGAAAGAACCCCAAACTACTTATGTTTAAAAACTCATGATTTTGAGGGCCTGACTCATGATTTTTGAATGCTTGTGGCTGGCAGGACTGCAGTGGAGGAAGAAATACAACAATATATTTTATTATTTCTGTAAATGCAGAAATAATGCACATGCAGTATACTAAATATTGTAGACATGTTAAAAGTCTCTTTCTGCTCATGAAGAGCCTACAGTTCTGGTAGGTAGGTAAGGTTGCCAGGCATCTGGTTTTCAAGCTGAACACCCAGTCGAAAAGGGACCCCGGTAGCCCCGGTCAGCACCTCTGACTGGGCTGTTAAAAGTCTGGTTGGTGGCACAGCAGAGCTAAGGCAGGCTCCCTGCCTGCCCTGGCTCTGCGCAGCTCCTGAAAGCAACTAGCATGTCCCTCTGGGCCCTAGGCACAGGTGCAATTAGGGAAGCTCCTCGCACTGCCCCTGCCCTGAGCTCTGCCTCGGCAGCTCCCATTGGCTAGGAACTGTGGCCAATGGGAGCTGCGAGAGTGGCGCCTGCGGACATGGGCAGCGCGCACTGCACACAGCCACCTGACTGCGCCTCCACCTAGGGGCCGGACATGGCGGCCGCTTCCAGGAGCAGTGCGGAGCCAGGTCAGGCAGGGAGCCAGCCTTAGCCCTGCTGTGCCGCTGACCAGGAGCTGCCTGAGGTAAGAGCTGCATGACCAGGGCCCACGCCGTGAACCCCCTGCCCCAGGTCGGAACCCCCTCCCGCACCCTAACTCCCTTCCAGACCCCGCACCTCCACCCCAAACCCCGTCCCAGCCCTGAGCCCCAAACTCCCTCCCAGATACTGAGCCCCCTCCCAGAGCCCGCACCCCCTCTTGGACCCCAATCCGCTGCCCCAGCCCGGAGCCCTGTCCCACACCCTGAACTCATTATTTCTGACCCCACCCCAAAGCCTGCACTCCCAGCTGGAGCCCTCACCCCCTCCCACATCACAACCCCCCTGCCCCAGCCCAGTGAAAGTGAGTGAGGGTGGGGGAGAGCAAGTGACGGAGGGAGGGGGACTGGAGTGAGTGGGGGGTGGAGTCTCAGAGATGGGGCAGGGCAGGGCTGGGGTCTTGGGGTGGGGCAAGGTGCTAGCTTTTGTGCAATTACAAAGCTGGCAACTCTATCTACAAATGCAAGGACGGGGAGGAAGAGCAACCAAAAGCAGCATGAATGAACAGAACAATGTAGCATCCATCACATTAATCCTATAACTTTTGTCATTAAACTAGACAGATGGTCCAGTATGATGATGGGCATTGTGTGTGGAGTGGGAAGGATCCATGTATTACAATGAGCTGGAAAAGTGTAGAACACTGAGATGAAGAGAGACTGCATGTCTGGTTGTCAAAATCCCCTAAATGTCTCAGAATTCTGAAGAAAGGCATTCAGCTTTAGGTCTGAATATTTTTATCTAATTGCTGCAAAAATTGCTTCTACAGTTCTAATTCCAGGTTTTTAAAAACATTTCGTCATCTCATGCTGCATGGTCCTGGGCCTGAATATTTGTTTCTGAATGAGGTGTCAAAAATGCTGTAATGATGACAAAGGAGAGAGAAACATGCAAAGGGTTTTCCTCATCAGGATTACAGCAAAGAAATAAATTGAGAAAGCAATTACTTAGCTGATTTGCTTCCTGCATTTGATAGAGGCATTGTTTTGCCAGCTTGTATTACTAACGCACCATTATTTTAATTTTTTCAAAATAGGACTTAGAACATTTACTAGGAACGGATTGCCAACATGCCCCTTCTGCTCTCGCCCTCTTGACCCTCAGTCCCTTGTCCAGCTCTGTTAAGGTCACTGGGGCTACGCATGGCCCCAGGGTCTGGCTCTGCAGAGCTCATTGCAGGATCAGGGCTTAACTGTCAGTAAAAACTATCATACTGGGTTCTTTGTCTTCACTGCCTGGTCAAATTTATTTCAAACTGTAGGGTTTTTGTTTTTTTTTTAAATTAAATGTTGCCTTCCCATCTGTATGTCAAAAACCAAATTAAGGTTAATGGAAAACTGTTTTTTTTTTAAAATTCTGTCTTGGATATGAAGTTTTTCTACATCCTTCTAGAAAACTTGCAGTCTTTCTTGATTATTGGTTTTAGCCTTTCTAGAAAAGGTGGGTAAATTTTGCACTCTTACTGACACTTTAGCTATTGTACCCTGGTTCCTTTTTAAACCACTGTATAATACTCTAAAGGCCTTAGCCCTCAGGATGATGTAGTTGTCACTAAGTGTAATGTCAGGTTTCAGAGTAGCAGCTGTGTTAGTCTGTATTCGCAAAAAGAAAAGGAGTACTTGTGGCACCTTAGAGACTAACCAATTTATTTGAGCATAAGCTTTCGTGAGCTACAGCTCACTTCATTGGATGTGTAATGTGATGTGTTAAAATCCTACATAAAATCAGGCAAATTTTCCCCACCTCTGTTGTATAATGTGCTGTGGCAATGGAAAATAAAATTTAGAGTTGACGCTTTTACCATGGAGCCTTTCTCAGGTTGTACAATTAATAAATTTGTTTGGATCAGCTTCTGTTATATATGTATATATAATATAGTTTTTTAATCTACATAACTGAAGGGGAAACACCATATCTGAAATGTCAGCTCTAATCTCTCCAGCAACTTCCAAATTGTACATTAATAAACCTATTCTGATTATATGACAAAAAGCCAACATCCTAGAGATCCCCTGACCTGCTTACTTTAATGCTCCAGTAAAGGATGAACATTTTAAACAGAACAACAAATTCATTTTTTGTATTGTTAGCAAGAAGATTTTATATTTCACTTTATTGGAAAAATGTGTGTGGTGTAGTAAAATATGGATTGTCTTTGTGGTGGAAAAGCTTTCACACAAAGTACGTTCACAAGAGATGTGTCAACAAGAGGATAGGTATTTAGAAATTTGGTCATCCTTTTTAGCATACTCAGAGGAAGAGAGCTCCTCAGCCAGCAAGCCAGAATCTCTAGCCTGGTTCATTGGATATTAACCTCATCCCAAATAAGTAATCAGTAATGTGCAATGTAGTGTATTAACATTTTATTGTTCTTTATTGTAAGAAAGAGTTTGGTTTTTTTAAAAAAGTATTGTGATTATGCAGATACAACACTGCTATTTCTACCAACAGAAACAAAACAAGTTTTCTGTAGCCTATGACTATCAGATTGTTACACAAGCCTGTTAGGGTTATTGTTCACCTTGATTTTTAAATTTGCATGGGAGGTGAATTACGATATTTCCCTATCCCCCACCACTCCAGAACTGATTTATGGACTTTAAAAGGAAGAAGTGGTGATTAGGGCAATGAATTTATCTTGGCTCTGAATTCCATGGCACAAACCATGATTTTTACGGGTTTTCTTCATAGCCTCTCCCAGTTTAAGCTTTTGTCATGGAAGCCAGTCATTACAAACAGTTTCCTTTAAGAAGGAAAAGCAGTAAGATAAAATATCTCCTAGTATGTACAGAGGTCAGGCATATCTGTGTGGGATGCTATAGTTAGAATTGCTTATAGTTGTTCAAACATTTTGTATATTTTTAAATAATTTAGTGTGCCCTTGGGTATTGAACACCATAAAAGTGAAGTTGCTTTTGTTGTTTTAAATTAAATCCAGCTACCAGTATATTGACCTGTTTTTGCGTAATGGCCTTTATTTTCCAAAATCGAGTAGTGATTTTTAGGTGTTCAACTTGAGACCTCTTAAAGTGGCCTGATTTTTTCAGAAAGTGTGAGACTTTTTTGTAAATTGAGGTCATAGGTCCTTAAAGCTGAGTAGGTGGTGATTAACAGGACAGTATCCATTAAAAAATCTGTATGGATGATGTATGCACTGTGCTCCAGAGAGCAGTAAAGATCCTGCAACAAGTTGATGACACGTGTGTGTGTAAAATATGTGCAGTTACATGTAGATGCATGTGCACATACACCCATGAGTTTGCATGTGTAATTATATATTCATTTAATTTATACAAACTTCCTTATTTCCTTAAATAGCCCTGAAAAGCTTAAATTTATTTTTCACTATTCATGCTGCTTGTTAATGTCCTGCTTTTCTCTCTGTTTAAACTATAGACCATTTTTGTATTTAATCCACTTCTAGACACTTTCATTGTTTTACGTGTGTAGCAAACATTGCGGCAAACAGGTTAAGTTTTTCCATTAGAATTAAAATTAAAAAAATCATGGAGATATTTTTATTTCCTTTAGTATGAGCATATTTTAACAGAATTAAATTTTGGACCAAATTTGACCTGACAGTGGCTCTTTAAATAATTTCAAAGCAGTAATTCCTTAATCACAGATCAGATGCAAGACTAAACTTGAAGTACATGTGTAGGCATCTCTGCTTTCTTTGAAAAATCTCCTTCTGTATGACCTTGCATGAGTAAAGAAGCAGTTTTTTTTTTCCAGAGTGTGACAATGTGTAATTGCAATTGGGGATAGGGGGGAGGCTAGAGTCAAACATGTATGATCAGTTATGAGAACAGAATCTTTTAAAAATGAACTGTTTAGGGCTAATCCACATAGATAGGTTTAGTTTTCAGTGAATCAGAGTTGTCCTTTGCTGAACTTATCTGTTGTGAGAATATCACTCCCCAGCAGGGCAGCTAATAACTTAGCACTGCACTAGATAAATTCGGTACATGATGTGTTAGTTTAAATTGCTGAAGAGGGTTAGGTGAAATGTAATAAATTCCTGGGATCAGTCTCTGCCTTGAATCCTGCTTGAGACTGTAAGCCACACTGGCCTAGAGAGATCAGTCTTTCTAGGAATGGATCTCATTTGAACGTAGGCCAATGAACTAAAATAGGGCTTTGAGGTCGTTTCTTGTTAACTTCATCTACCAGACTCCTTTTCTGTGAGCCCATGGTCAGATTTCAGTTGTACATCTTACAAGGCTAAGATTTATTAGGGAGCATGGCAACATGGCTTAAATTTGGTCCTTTCATTTTTTTTCTAGACATGAACAGAACATTTCCAGATAATGTACAATTCCGCAAAACTGCTGATCCCTGTTTACAGCAGACACTCTACAATGTATTAGTAGCGTATGGGCACCATAATAAAACAGTGGGATACTGCCAGGTATGTAACTTATTATAGATATTTAAAAAGATATTCCAAGACATTTGCAAGATTGTTGTTGCTAATTTTAAAGTACATTTTTGGGTGATAGTCAAGGTTGTGGGGAAGGCTAAATATAGTCATATAAACAGTTGCTAATAGTATCTTTCCGATCTCATATTTGAGTCATTTTCAAATGTAATGCGTGCTTACCCAATTTCCTTCCTTTTCAAGTGAATGAATTGGTTTCATTCACTAAAGGTGAACAGTAAACTAAAAAAATGGTGTCCCGTTTTGCTACTTGGTGTTCTAGAAAGGCATGAAAAACGTCTTTATTTATATGTAAATGATTCCTTTGTGTCTTGATTTCCACTGTCTTTCTGGAGAACTTTTTTGGGTAGAGGCGAACTAGTGGTCATATCACATTGTAGTCAAATGGTCTAAATCTAATTTTAGTGGATTTGGTTGTAACATCTGTTTAACTCAAACTTCTGACAAACATGGAGCAGGAAAATTTGTTTGTGTAAAATTCAACCTCCTAACTCTTAAGGGACTGAGACTGCTCCTGCTCCAGTTCCCTAGTCCTTTACAGGTTCCTGTAGAAGATACAAGAAAAGAAAATATTTGATTCATGATGTTTCTAAGGTAAAAAAACAAGCAGAAAAATGTTTTAAAATAGAAATAACTTTGTGGCCATCTTTACACATCATAAAGGAACGGTAACTAGCATAATCAAAAAAATGTGTCTTCTCTTCTGTTCAGTTCAGCTTTGAAGTCTCTCCTTTCTCCTTCCCTGTTGCATTGCAGTTATATGCAGTTACATGTGTCTTGTACCAGTCAAAAAAATTTATAATAAAATAAAAATAACAATCCTTTATTAAATAATATAAATTACATTTATTGAATTGCAGCTCATTTAATTTAGTATAGAAGAGATTGATCTAGGTTTAAGAATCATTATCAAAGTCGCTGAAATCTGACTTACTGTTTGGCCCTGATATATTGCAGTACTGAGGTTAATAGTGGTAATTTGAAATGTGGGAGTAAAAGTTCTTTGTGCTTTTTCCATATATAACATTTCATCCAAAGAGAACAAAGCTTTTAAAACTACATTCTTTTAAGATTTTTGAGAATAATGCAAAGGGTCAATCTCTGATCCATGTGTTTGCAGAATCAGGCCTCTAAATAAAGCAAGACAGATCTATGAAGAGATGCATATTACTTTACATTAAACCCTTGTTAAGTCTGCACAGAAACACCCATCTAAGTCCCATTAAAAAGAGACCAAGGGTCTTCCCTCCCCCCCCTTATTCCCTCAAAAGATGGGTTATATATCGAGGGTGTAACTACATAAACCAAGGGCTGGAGCCTCTCCTCCTACATGTGTGATAAATCAGTGTATATCTTAGAAAACTGGCTATTGTCCTAGTGAAGCAGCAGACTTCATCAAGATAAATGGTGATGTATACCATATAATGGGGCCAGGATTCCTCTGAAACAGTAGACAATTAAAGTGAACTCCTCGCCCCCCTCCCCCCAATTCTTTGTGTAGCTCTTCGTGGCTTGCACTATATACTAAGTATAGATCCTCCACACCTCACTAGCATTATCAAAACATTTATCTGGAGAGTCACCACTGAAAAGTTCCCAACCAAAGAGTTAGTTAAGTTTCGAATTGCCATTCTGTACTGTAGTCCTATAGAATTCTTACCAATGTGTGTACAGCTAGTGAAATTCTTTGCTTTGTGAATATTTTCTAAAGAGCAGGCTTTTGTTCCTGCTATGTTAAGTGCCAAATACTCTCTTATCACCATGGATGCAATTATCAAACTATCTGGTAGCATGGGAACTGAATAGCTGTCTTCATAGGCAGAAGGCCAAGCACCCCAGATGCAACACAGATCCAGGCAACTTCAGCAATTTGTAAAAGTTCAACAACTAATATAGAGGTTTAAGGATTGAAAAGAAATGTCTAGAACAGAGTGAATATTTTAAAATTCAAATGTGCAGAGACTGTTTTGGCATTGTATATCAAAAGACAAGTGAGCAAAGCCACTTGTATCCAAAAAATTGGATTTCAGTCAAGACAAGAACTTTTGGTTTCCAGAATCCTTTGAGCGTTTCAGTTTTGGCAGTGCTCTTCTTGCTTGAGCTGTAGCTGGCATTGCTTATTGGGTACAGTGAGACAATGTTACCGCCTGTCCCCATAGATGACCCTGGAGTGGAGAGTTCGGGGGAAAGAGGTCAAGGAGAATACAAAAGAAAAGGATGAAACTAGAGAGGATTTCTAAGATTAGCACTAAACAAATGTAACTGGCATGAGCCTCCACAGCCTGTAAATATTTAAAGACAATTTTACATTGGCTTTTTAAAAAATTGTTGGGAATTGTGTACTCTCATGCTGGTGCACTATGTACTGTTTTAGATGCCATCTTGTTTAAATCACAATAAATATACTTTTAAAAAATCCTCTCACTCTAAAAGCCAGTAGAATGCTATAAATCAACCTAATAATGTTGCTAAAACTAACTGGTTGACTAAACTAATATTATGGATTACTTAGAGATAGTCTCTAAGGAAATTGCTTAAGCATATGCTTGATTTTAAACACATGCTATTCCTGAATAGGGTTGGTTTCCTGAATCAGGGCCTATATATTTTATGCATCTTCTCTCCACTGAAATCTTGCCATGAAAAGCCCAACACATTGTACTGTAAGGATGTGACCAGTTAACGTTTTACATATATAGCCCTATCTCCCACACTTTGTGTGTCTGCCTATTGTAGGTTGTAAGGCAGGAATGATGGCTTCCTCGGTGATTTGAAAGGCATCTAGCATAATATAGGTGCAAATAGAAACAATAAATACTGTTTGTTAGTTCTGGACAAACATAATTTAAATAGCTGCGTAAACTACACCTGGAAAACCTGGTGGAATTACAACTCTGCTACTTACTATTTGCTTTCCTAAACTGCATTTGTAGTTTCAACTGGATGGGCCATGCTCCACCTAGAACTGTTAGGTAGTGTCACTGCACATTATTAAGCAGCTATTTTGTGAGTTTCACTCCAGAGATAGTTACGTTTCAGTGTTGGTCAAAGTAATCATCGGTTTTGTTGTTTGGAAAGGGCTTTGGGATTTTTTAAAATAAAAAGCAGTCTTTACATTACTTTTTAATTTCTTAGTGCTTTAATTTTTTTTCCCCCTCCCCTGGCTTCCATGGGCTTTCATTGCCCAGGTGTAGCAGGGTTAATAATTGGTAGACTGTCTTAGTAGATTTCCTCTATCCTGTCCATTTTGTGAATTGTAATAATTCTGTCTCTGGTATCTTTCAAGGAACTTGCAGGCACAATGCTTTTCCCTTTATTTCACTCAATCAGTACTTTGAAGTTCATGGGTATTATAAAGTTAAACAAGAAACTTTTGAGGTAAGTGGAGAAATTATAAAAGCTTTCTTTTTATTTCAGGGCATGAATTTCATAGCTGGATACCTGATTCTTATTACAAAGAATGAAGAGGAATCCTTTTGGTTGTTAGATGCTCTCATTGGACGAATATTGCCTGGTATGCTAGCAGCTCTTATTTTATCTGTACATTAGAGCTTGGGTTTTATTTTCCCTTTGTATTCATTTTTATTTATAGAAGCCCTATGTGGCAAGATAAGCTTTGCTGTTTAACTTCAATGGTCTGCTTAGTTTGTAGGGGTCTGTTTCTGCCATGATTTCAGTGTGGGTATACAGGAAGCAAGTCGAAATAAATTGAAACTAAAACTCTGGTCTTTAGACGACAAAGCAATAAGAAACTGAAATCTGATCAGCTGGTGTAGAATTGGTTTAATTTGTAACACATCTTGCTTTTCGCCCACCACTACCTTTGTTTGTATTTCCAGTGGTTCAATCCTAGGCAAGAGGCTAGGGCTTATGGGAATGCCTGGGACTTTAGCAGTTTTCCTTGGCCTGTGGGAAACAATATGATGGAAAGATGAAGCACTTGGTCTCAAGTGAAGGAAGGGTATGAGTCTCATTGCAGCGTGAGCATCTGTGGTGGCCATTACATAAAGTAGCAGTTTATGATGCTACTACAAGGAAGCAGCCTGGCCTTTCTTTACAGCTCGTTGATAAGGGATTGCAAGAAGTTTGTATTCAGGCAGAGAAACTGTTAAGTCAGTGTTTTCAAGCCTTTTCCACACCGTGACCCCATTGTACAACAAAAAAATTGCAGGATCCCTCTCCGATCAGGCTGTAAAGAAAAGGAGGGTGGTTGTCACCTTCCTAGAGGTCATGATCCCTATGTTTAGAAACCATGAGTTTAAATTATTCAAATATGACAAAGTGGACATTTCCTCCTCACATTTTTTTTTTAGTAGATTATATGAGCCTTTCAACGGGGATTTAGCACTAAAGCCTATGAAGGAGGAATGGCTGCCCCATGAATTCCCATATGTACAGCGCCAGTTATGTCCTACACTTTTATTCAGGTGTATATTGTGCCTAAAATTTAGTACAGTGGCTTACCAAGGGTAGGTTTTGACATTCCCTTATCTGGCCTACTTTTGCTGTTGAAGAGCTTTCTTGAACTGCTACCCTGAAGGGCTGGAGACTGAACATATTATTAAAATCTCAAATTATTGCATGACGGTAACATCCAGGATTATGCTTAACTTTTTGCCGGAGCTTTGGATTTCTGTGCTCCAGCTGGGGAGCGGGGTTGGTGGCCGCTCCGCATGGCTCCTAGAAGCAGTGGCATGTCCTGCCTCTGGCTCCTCCATTTAGGGGCAGCCGGGGTCTTGTGCGCTGCCTCCGCCCCAAGTGCTGCCCCCGCAGCTCCCATTGGCTGCAGTTCCCAGCCAATGGGAGCTGCAGGGGCGGCATCTGCGGGCAGGACAGCAAGTAGAGACGCCTGGCCACGCCCCCGCATAGGATCCAGAGGGGGGACATGCTGCTGCTTCCGGGAGCTGCTTGAGGTAAGTGCCGCCCAGACCTGCACACCTGAGCCTCCCCACCATGCCCCAACCCCCTACCCCAGCCCTGATCCCCCTCTTGCCCTCCAAACACCTCGAGCCCAGCCTCCTGCACCCTGAACCCCTCATCCCCAGTCCCACCCCAGAGTTTGCACCCCCAACTGGAGCCCTCACTCCCAACCGCCTACGTCAGCCCTGAGCCCCCTCCTGTCCTCCGAACCCCTCAGTCCCAGCCCGGAGCACCCTCCTGCATCCCAAACCCCCCAGCCCCACCCCAGAGCCTGCACCCCCAGCCAGAGTCTTCACCCTCTCCTTCACCCCAATCCCAATTTTGTGAGCATTCATGGCCCGCCATACAATTTCCATACCCGAATGTAGCCCTCGGGCCAAAAAGTTTGCCCACCCCTGCTATAAAACTTATGATTACGTTTGTTAATTTTTTTGTAATTATAGAACAGTCAGTAGAATACAGTGAAATTGGCTACTGCTATTTTATATAGTCTATACTGCATATAGCAAGCCTGCTGTTGGAACATATAGAACTGAAGTTATCTAGGTTGTGATCCAATGGGGGGAGTCTTTGACTTCAGTAGACATTGGATCAGGCACCTGATGAAAGGCAGCATGATTGTACAGTGAAGTTTAGCACTTATTTCATGATTTTGTTTTTAATCATTTATAATTTCTTTTATTTTTCTCTGGGATAGAGGAGTGGATTCAGAGGTCTCTGAGATTCAGGACTCTATTCATCAGTCTTTTTATGGAATTTGTTTTGATAGGACTCCATGAAGCCTGTAGCTCTTCAACACCTTGCTCCTAAACTTGGCAAATATGTTAATGAGAAAAGGCACTCTTGTTTCATTTTCTTCGTTGTTTCTATGGCCCTTTTCCTATTCTAATAGCGGCATTGATTAGTACAGACTCATAGTGTGAGGGGCAATGGGACAGATCACATTAAACAGAGTATTTAAAATAAATATAGACACATTTATACACTCTCTGGGATCTAGACTTTCTTTTTAAAATATCATTTTTATTGGGTAATGCAAGACTTCCTTTTAAGAATTTTTATCAGTGGTTGAACAGCTTTGTTGCAGATTTCCAAGACAGTTATTTGACGTTATCAGTGCTGGTTATCCCATTTTTTGGCATTTACTCTGACTACCAGAAGTTGAATTGTTTTCTTATAAAGCTCATAGCATAACAGGTAAAATAATTGGAGTAATTGCACAGAAGTGTAATGAGTGTCTTAGGCCTTGTATCTGCTGGAGAAATTTACCCTGATAAGTGATTGCTCCCCCTCAATTGTGTGTTAACGTGAGGCATATTTCAAGCAAAAGTGCTTCAGCTGTATGTCAGGTAAGCAAATAAACATGGCATTTACTGCAGGACTTTGTGGTGGGGGGGGTAAGCAATAACTGAGTCTCACTCACTGCAGTTGATCACTCACAAACTGATCGAGTGTGGATGCATCTTACTGTGGCACAGATGATGGGCTGTTAATTCTGACAGCTTTAACATCTGGCACATCTCCTTTAGTTTGCCAGCTGAGAATTCACTCTTTGTTCCTCCCTCTGCTGTACCACCTCCACTCCATCTAATCTACCTCTGTTCCCCCTGCATCACACCAGAAATGCTTCCAGATCATGCCATCCCCTGTAGTCCTCCTGGAAATGCCTTCCCCTCTTCTAGTGTCTTCCTGATACCCTAAGCCAATGAGTCAGCTGTGGATCATAAGTAAGGTATGATTTAGTCACAGAGGTGTCGACAGTCATGGGTTCCATGACTTTACTGGACCTCAGTGACTTCTTCAGCTGCAGCTGTCAGGGGCTGAAGCCGGGGCTGAAGGTGGGACTGTGTACCCCTGCCCTGGAACTGAGGCTGGAACCAGAACCCTGCATTCCCTGCCCTGGAGCTTCTGCCGGCGGCTGCAGCCGGGCCATGTGCCCCTCTCACGGCTTCCCAGGGCTGTGCCTATACCTGCCCTGGCTGTAGCCAGGGCTTGGTGGGGGCTGCAGCTGGGGTTGCGCACCCCTACCCCGCAGCTGCGGCCAGCTCTGGAGTGTGGGCTGTGCCTCCTGCCATGACTGGGGGGGCTTGGCCTGTCAGTCCCCTCCCCCATGGGACTCCATTCCTCCCCCCTACCTAGCCCTGCCGCCGCCTCCTCCTCCCTCCCCCCCCCCCCCCCTAGTTATTTTTAGTAAAGTCATGGACAGGTCAAAGGTTCCTGTGAATTTTTGTTTATGCCCAAGACCTGTCCGAAACTTTTACTAAAAATAACCGTGACAAAATCTTGGCCTTAATCATAAGCAAAAACCATATGAAGCATAAACTATTAAAGTTTCTACTGAAGACAAGGCCATAGTCTTGTAGAAGAGTTGTGTAAATTCTAGAAGTTCAGGGGTTAGGAGTAAAACTCCTTAAAAGCAGTGAGAGGGATACCAGAATTGTTTCTAGCAAACTGAAGTATTGTGTGGTCAGGGGAGTTCTTAATCTACAAATTCATTTTGCAATATTGTATGCAAGCATATGCCGAGAGCAGTTGATGACGGAGAGTGGGCTAAATGTTCCAAGGAACTACTGTGGGTTGACAAGCATAAAACTGACTCAGACTTAGCATTTCAAATTTAGTATTTTGTATACTTTTATTTTAGAAAGCATCAGATAGTGGTTAACTTTGTATTTATCATCAACTACTAAGGTTAGCAAAGTGACATGTATTATTTGGCTAGTTTTCTTTTTCTGTGCTTATGAATAAATGTTATGTTGAGTAAAAAAATGTTGAGAAACTTGAAGATTGCATTAAACTTGCACTGGGATTTCAGATACTCCTTGAAAACAGCAGTTTGGCTGTGATTGTTTTGATTTTCTTATGGCCATTTTTCTGAAAGCAGGGGTGCTTATGAAATGTAGGTCCAGGAAAAGGGAAATTTTACTGCCCATTTGCCTCATGAGCAACGAAAAATGATGATTCATCTGCCATGTCCTGTGAACATATGTTTCAAACTATGGAGCTATCAGCCAATTGGAAGATGAGAGAGAGGCTAACCTGTGTTGTTTGTTATGGCAGAAAATGTGTGATGAAACAACATCAGTTTAGATTGAGTGGAACGCCTATCTACAGCAAAGGTGCTGGATACAATGTTATGGCACTAGGCAGGTGAGAGGCTAGGACGTTGCAAATTATAGGTATGCAATTATGCAGTTACTCAATTTAATTATGCATATATTAAATACTAAACTGAGTAACTGCATAATTGCATACCTATAATCTGCAGCTTCCTTGTCTCTTGCCTTCCTACTGTCATAACATCCTCACTTCTCAAGTCCATCATCAAGGTTATAAACACTTCAGAGCAGGGACTTGTCACTTCTGAAGCATTTAGCATTCTTGTAGGTGTTGTAAAATAATCCTAATGTTTATTCAGCACCTTATTGAACTAAAATTAGTCATACATTTATTTCCTCCTTTTAGCAAATTTGTTTTAATACTTGGACAGAACACTGTGAAATCCCTAAGCATAGAGCTAGGTGAGTAACTAGTTGTATGTTTAAAATATCTTCCTCAAAAGGGAAGTGGAATCTTCATGGAACATTTCATTCA